CTTGAAGTATATGCATTTGTTCTCTAGTCTACGCCGTAAAAGTTATTATATTATCTGCCCAGTGATTTGGCAATGAAGATTATAGTTTTGCAATTTTCCTTTCGTTAAAATTTTCTTTAGCAAGTTCTAGTGGAAGGAGAAGGGAAGCCTTAAAGCAATGGTAAAATTGTCTTTTGTGTGACCTATAATTCATGTGTTCGGGCCGTGGAATTAGCCACCGGTGCTTGCATTATGGTAGGCTGCCTACATCAATGCCCCCTTGCAGTGCGACCCTTCCACGGACCTTACGTCGTGCACCAGGCTGTCCTTTAAGGTTTAATGTTAGGTTATCAAATTCGTTCATGGAGAAAATAAGAAATTGTATTCTATGTTATGTGTCAAAACTTAGTTATTATGTCAATTAGTTACAAAACCAATTTCCAGGAAACTACTGAGCTCGCTCTATCCACCAGAACCGCTATCTCTGTCCCAGTACCAGTTTCCCTCCGTCCTCTTCTATTCTCCTATTCCTGAAGAACGCCTAGTCAAACGCCCAAAAAAAAAGCAAAATGTTTCAGACATTGATGATCTTGATCACGTCTAGGTCAAAGAGTTACTATATGCTACCAGTTAATGAGAAAAAGACAGAATTTTCTGGTGCATTTGTTGTGGCTCTTTGGGTTGGTTTTCTGTGGAGGTGACATGAATGATAGGATTTTTGGGAGGAGGGTGCAGGTGGCAATAGTTTCCTAGCAGACATCTTATTGAGCTATTGTTTTCTGATTGTCATAATTTTTGAATTTTTATACTGGTTTTACTCTTCTTATCTGTTGGTGGTTGCCTTTGTTCTGCAGCTTTATGCTCTTGCAGTTTCATATGGAAACATTTGGTGCTCTTGATTGATTTATTGCTTGAATTGGTTAACCAACCAGATAGTGCCTTTTATGAGTTGCCTACCTATTACTCAGTTCAAAAGGTTCTTCAGGATGTGTTGTTGATGGTTTATTTCTTATATTTGTGTTGCATAGTTCCAGTTGTTTGTGGTTTGACATTTATGTTAGGTTTCTGCTATTTCCTTAATTTTTCTGAAATTATATCTGTTTCTTTCTCTTGTTTCAAAAAACACAAAGAAACTTCCTGTGTCTGATAAGACCTTTCCTTGACGAACCTTAGCATTTACCTGCCATAATGAGGAAGTTTCAGAATATATCTACTTATGGTTTAAATGCCTCTATCACTTTGTCGTATAACTATGTTCTCTATTTCTTTTCTTTTGTATTGTTTGTAATTTTAAAATTTGCTGTTCAGCATCAACCAGCTGTTGACTTAGTCACTTTTTTCTCAAAATGGTCTTAAATTAATGTGCCACCTGTCATTTTCAAGAAAGAAGAGGAAATTGTTTCCGGAAATTTTGTCCACTTGTTCTCCATGCCCTTTTGGTTAAGATTTTATTCATTTTAAAACTGTTAACGTGTTATCAATTTTGTGTTACATAGAAATTGCTTGTTTAGCTGGTTTCAGATGCGGTATGTTGCAATTTATGTTGTGTTAAACAATGGACGGGTAGGTTTAACAATAGATGCTAGATGAACATTTCCTATCTAGAGGGAAGTTCCTAAAAGTATGCTGAACTGGATGGGATATTTATGTAATTAGCTGTTTGAATTGATATCCCGAATAGGTTAAGTCATGTATAACCAATCTGAAGAGCTACAAAGAAAGTGTTGGTTAGGTTCTGTTGGTGCCTGTTTTTTGGTTTTACTCCCTTTGAGATTGTTCAGCACATTTGAAGTCAATGTAGTTGCTGCCTCCTCGGGGTTGGCATGTAAACTTGACTTAGTGATATATAAAGTTAATTTGCATATCTGACTTTATTCTTACTTCCCATGTCTTTGCAGCCATGGGATTTTTTGAGGAAGACATTTATGGAGAAGCCGGAAGAAGAGAAGTAAACAAAAATGTCAAAGAAGCTGGTAGCTAACTGATCATTTTTGATGATAAACAATCCTTGAGCAGGATTAAATCAATAATACATTTTCATTTCGTGGTCCTTGTTAGTACAATCACGAGCCCTTGATATTAGCTGCTTCAATCAATTTCTCGGTTTGGATTTAATTGTCGATTGTCAAGCTTTGTTCTTCATTAGTGTTCATATTGTTAACATGATGCTTCCTGTGGTGTACTCGCCAGAAAGAATAGCTATCTGTGTATGCAGAGTTTGAATGGGTTTTCAAAATAATAAAAGATTTTTAATTTCAATTGGTGCTGCATGTTCAATTTTACCACATCAATTCTAAGGCTTTACGTCTAGGATCATGTTTGTGCTTTGCAGTTTGACATTGATTGCAGTTAGATATGATGGTGTAGAGCGTCTTATGCGATTTATTGCCAGTAGCTTTATCTTTTTCCTTCTTTTGTAGTATGTGTTAGTGCGTTCCCATTGTTGTGTTGTTGGTAGCTATATTTGTCAGTATTTTAGTGTTCTTTGAGACAATTGAATTATGATGGAATTCACCGTCTTTTAGACAAGTGTGAAGGTCCAAGCGTGCCGGTGCTTGTTTCTCCAACGTCGCATAACAGACCATCCACACTGTTAAAGAAATCATTCCCATGGTTAAATAATTGGCTGCTATATTTACGCTGCTATGTGCAAGTCATTTTGTTGGGAGGGGTGGGCATAGAGGGTCTAGGAAACGAAGAGCAGAGAAAAGAGAGTTGATTAAAACTCAATTCTGTTTTCACCATTTCACAGCAGAAGATAGGAAATATTTAGCCTTAGGGCTTTGAGTTCAGTGCTAAGAACACAATGTTGAGATGTGTAAATTGCGTTTATTGAGTGTATGTTTTGAGTTTGAACTTTAATACTGACATGAAACTTGTTATTTAAGAGAAAATAGGTTAGAGGTTGGATGGGCAAGAGATTATTTTTATTAAAAAATACATAAGGAAAAAAAAGGAAGCGAAATGCGTTAGCTTTGCCTTTTGTAAAAGCAAGTGAATCTAATGCTGAAGTAGACTATCTAATTTTGGACTCCCTCTAACTGATTCTTTGCTTACAGAAAAGAATCTGGGATTCAAGTAACTGTCATGCTTCTAAAGTAGAAGCATTCTTTGCACAGGTAGAAAATCTCGTTAAATTATACAACTTGACTTTTTTTTTTTGAACAGTAGGAAATATATTAATAATAGCTAAGTGTCAGGTTCTGACATATACAACCCAAGCTGCCGCAATTGGCACTAACATTTGCACTACAGCCTTCTAAGGCATCAACATAGCTTGCAATTGGCACTAACATTTGCACTACAGCCTTCTAAGGCATCAACATAGCTTGCAATTGGCACTAACATTTGCACTACAGCCTTCTAAGGCATCAACATTTCCTAACGCAGCCAACTTAGTGCATGTAGTAGCAGAAGTAATTTTTACAGAATAAAACCTCTCCATGTCCCTTTGATACTGTGTCGTCGCCGGTTCCAGTGGGGTAGACAAAAGACGAAACTTATTTATGTTGGACTGCATGAGTGCTTCCCTAGCCAAAACATGTGCCATTGCGCTTCCTTCCCTGAAGCTATGCTTGAGGGTTACCTGCCCCTCTGCAGTGGCGGATCTGCCTTGGAGCCATTGGTGCCTGTGAACCCATGCTTGTGGCTCTAAATTTGTATTTTTACTATACATTTTATTTTTTAAAAGGTGATATATTCTTCTATGCCCCCATGCTCTCAAATGAGTGTTTGGTGCATTGGCTCAATCTTTTACCATAAGACACATGCTTTGCTAGGAGGTAATGAGATCAAATCTCATTTAGAGTATTCTTTTGTTTTTGCCCCTTGTCCGCAGGCAAGTGCCAAACTCTTTCTTTATCTTTTTTCCTTTTTTCCTTTTTTCCCTTTTGAATCTTTCTTTTTTCCTTTTTCTATTTTTTTCCTGATTTTTTTCCCACAACCAAACAGCGTTAACCTCTTCTTCTTTTTTTTACCCTCGTGAAAAGGCTTAGCATTACACTTAAATATATTAGCTTAAAGATATGTACATCATCACTATAATTTTACTATCTTGATAGATTACTTACTATATTAAAGGTTACCAATCAAATTGTGGTAAGAAATTACCTATAATTAATCTCTAAGCAAACATAATCGGTAATAATAATAATTTACACCTTTAGTATGTAAATTGAATTTTTCGGGAGAAAAAGAATACGCCTATCTCACATATCTCTCATCATCTACCAAGCTCCCAACTCTTGTGACTTTCGAACCTTAGCCTGAAAATTGCTTGAATCGCAAATTTGGTAATTGCGACTCGTCCCTCTTTCGTCGTTGTCAGCAGTGGTGCACCCATCTTCTTGAATTTCTGGATCCACCTCTACCCTTCTGCCTCGCCTGAAGAAGTAACAACCTGCATGCATAAATTAAACGTGTGTAAGTAGGATGGTCATGCTCAATCATGGTTATTGGTTCTGAATCGTCCGTTTCAATTTCTATTGGAAGCAAGCCGTGGGTGATAACCATCTGGAGGCCTTCCTGTAGTGCTTGGAGTTCCACTTGAGCTGATGAGAGTGTGTGCACTTTCATGGTGAAGCCATTATCCAGCGCCCTACATGGTTTCTAACAATTCCTCCAATTCCACCTTGGTATCTATCAGCTTTGAAGGCACCATCTATGTTTAGTTTAAGCCAACCTTGCGGTGGCTTGTGCCAACTTACCTTTATAGACTTGTGAGGGGAGTTTGTTATGTACTTTTCAGTCATGAGTTTATATTCTAGAGAGGTGTTAATAATAGTTGTCCATAGAATTTTGTGAGAAGTATTGTTGTGGTTATTAGCATTCCTATTTTTCCAAATGTTCCATATGGCAAAAGGAAAAACCTCACTCCAAGAAAGATAGTAGTGGTTAAAGTAATTGTTATTTTGCCTAATATAGTTAAGCCAATGAGTATTTTGCGCCTTATCATTCAATTGGAGACCATAAGTATGCCATAAGTTGTTGATAGTAGAGCAATCCCAGAATATGTGGTAAATTGTTTCCTCATTGTTTTTGCAAACCGGGCAAATTGGGTCGATGTTAATACCTATATTTGCCAAGTAAGATCGTGTAGGAAGTCTATTATGGTAGCACTTCCAAATGAAAATTTTGATCTTGTTTGGGCAATGTAAGTTCCAGATCCAGCTGAAATCTTTGTCTTGTTTTTCCTCTTCGTTTATGATTTGACAGCACGAAGAGGTCGAAAACAGGCCATTTGAGGATAGGCTTCAGACGTTGTGAATACTGTGAGATTTATCAATGGGAGGAGTGATTGCACTAATGCTATCAACTATTTGGGTAGGAAGATCAAATGAGATTTTTGTGAAGTTCCATTTACCCTGCTTCCTAATTAGATTTACTGTAAAATTATCCTCATGCTCCATTAGTGGCCCCGCGATTGCATTTCTAAGGTTCCTTACGTTGGGGATCCAGTTGGATTGCCAAACACTTAGGGGGCCTTGTTGTTAATACAACTTGACTTCAAAGAGCCATCAGGTCCCTAGTTCCCTGTTTACTTACTTTTATATTTGTTGTATTAATTTTCTTTCATTAGTATGAAAAGAATGCTACTATTAGTAACTTTTAACTTATTAACCATGCTTCAACGATTGTCAAGAAATTATTTAAATATTATAATAATCTCATATTTTTACGTTATATGCTAAAATTACTGTTTGGGAGTCAAAACTTTATCTTTGTCCACAAAAGTTTCAAACATTTGCCAAATATTTTAATCAACAAGAAAATGTAATGTACAATATTTTTTTATACAGTTTTTACATATGTAAATTATTTTTTAAAGAGGGAGTATAATAATCTATATCTATCTATCTATCTATCTATCTATCTATCTATCTATCTATCTATCTATCTATCTATCTATCTATATTATTATAAAAGCATGAATAATTTACGTTAAATGTTGTACGACTAAAATATCCCCGAGATATCAACCGACTTTTATGCCCTTGAAAATTTAAAGTCTTTCTTTACCATATAATTTCATATTGGATAAAAGTGTAAAATTAAGAATTTTTCTCATACTAGGATTTTGAAATTACCATCACTAGACACAGTTATTATACCTAATTTGTAATTGATCGTAATTAAGTGCTGACTTTAATCCTCTATAAATAAAAACTGTTTGCTTACAAAGTTTACACGTGATTTGCATAATTGTTGTTTGATCATGAGTTTCTGCTAGCGATGGATGCCAACCAATCCGCAGGAAATTTTTCATCTAATCTACATTTTATTTCATATTATTAGCTATACAGTTATTGAATTGGGCTTTTGTTGTTATTTTTTATTGATACTTTTTGTTCATCGTGTACCCGTGAGATTAAATTCAATTCACTTACTTTTCGCCTTGTCTTCCTCTTAAATTTGATGCGAAGGTTTTAGATGCTAGCAAAAAGTTCGATAAATCAAAATAACGGATCATACAAAATAGATTGAGAGATTATCCGCGACAACGCTTGGTTGAATTGCACAAACATCGACATCTAAGGTAATGAAAGAATTTCTTTTCCTTTACGTGTTTGGCAATTATGTTACTACTTTTTTCTTAGGCGGTTCTTTGTTTCGTCTAATTGATACATGGGCATAAAAATATTTTTGTAGAAGACGGATTCCTGAATAATCACATTCGATGCACCAAAGTTATATATTGTCTAGCATATAACATGCAAAGGATCTAGATCTAAAGGAGGAGGTTTGTCGTACCTATAAATTGTACTTATGTAGAAACACTGATAATACAATGATAATTAGCAAACTTCTTAACGTTGGGTTGAAATACTTTTTATTATGACGATAATTGTATCCTCTTGATTTTGAAATTAAATAGTGTTATAGGAGATGCATTATAATCTTTTTTAGGTTAATCATTCACGTGTAGAATATAATTTATCAAGGGAGAATATTGACAGAGAAAATCTATGAGTTCTATCTTAATTGTTCTGGCATTTTTTGAAATTGAATAAGATAAAATTTAACTTATTTTCCTTTTCAAAAGTGCTAAGTTAATAATTCATATAAGTGCATGCTGGAAATAATTATTTCCGTCATCTCTATTCCTTTTTAAATACGGAAAAGGGTCAGAACTGACCCTGAACTATAGTTTCAGGGTTAAAAATACCCTCCGTCCACCTTTTGGGCCTTTGATATCCCTAACATTATTTTCTTGGCCTATACATGCCACTCCAACTAACGGTTCCTCATTTAAAAAAAGAAAGGTTAAATACTAATTACGTGGCAAATTCTCATTGGCTTATTTTAAAACAAAAGACCCGTGTCCATACCCAATCTGTTGAACCCAAATCGGCCCAAAATAACCCACCCGCTCTGATCCATTAACAAATAAAATACGGATTTCAGCCCTCTTCTTTACTAATGTTTATTCTACTTAACCCTCTCTCATGTTTAGGCGATTTAACAATCCAGAAAGTGTCTGCACTTTATAGAGGTTGAAGCATACAATATTCGTTAAAGTTGAAGAACTGAAGTTAAAATACAAGATTTTCTCTCATTCAAGTAAGATTCTATTGCTTTTGTGAATAAAATATGTTTAGGGTTTTGTTGAATCTGTCAACTTTTGTTGCTTCTGAAGTTTTAGGAATATTCACTTGTTTTTTCGATGTTTTGATGCCTTTGCTTAGTCAATTTCACATTGCATGTGGTCCCGATTGGTTTTTTGCTGTCCGAAATTTATGGTTTAAGGGAATGGTCTCTGATTTCTTTATTCTTCTGTGGTCCCAATTTGAATATTTTATGTTATTTAGCAGTTTGTTGGTTGCATGTGGTCCATACATATTTTATGTTTCTGGTAGGGTTTGGGGAATTAATTTCTTCTGTATTTATTCGTATGAGGTCTGTTTTTTAGGGTCAATAAAGAATGTTAGTTTTCCTTTTATTTTTCTGTTTTTATATGTCTGATGGGTCCCTTTATCTTATTATTGTATGGCTTGTATATGACTTTTTTTGTAGAATGCTTGAGAAGATAGACTTGATCTTTAATTATGGGGGCAGATGGGTCTTGAAGCCTCATGTGATTTACATTAAAAACCTGAATCATGTGTTGCAAGGATATGATGTGGATATGCTGTCTTATATTGATATTTGTGCTGAATACACTGAAGTCCTTAAGTTAAGAGAGGTGAAACAGATTTTAGTCACAAGGTCTTCAGGTAGATACTTGTGGTTGAAGGTGATGATGGCATAGAAAATTAATATCTATACTATCTGCCAAGTTCAATGTGGTTCAGGTATTTCCTGTACATGAAGGTGAAGAACAAGTAATAGCTCCTAACATTATTCAGTATAATGAACAAAATATTGACACATTAGAGATTGGTACTGATTGTGACTCCTCTGATGAAGAGGGTGCTAGTGAAACTAATTCTAGTGACAATGATAGTGAGCAGTTGGAACTTTTCAGGAAGGAAATGACTAAAGAAGTCACTGAAAAACTAGAAAAATACAAAGAACTAGAAAAAAGAATGAGTTTTAAAAGCTTGGCTGACGCTAAAAGAGTTGTGGGATTTTATGCAGTTGCTAGTAGCAAGGGCCTTAAAGTAAAGAAGAGTGACACTACTAGGGTGAGATATAAATGTGACATAGGATGTCCTTTTGTGTTCCATATATCTTTGGATCAAAAAGATCAGGGATTTAAAATCAAGACCTTAAACTTGGAACATAACTATGATCCAACTTATAAAAATAAAAGAGCTACTGCCAATACTTTAGCACACTATTTCAAGAACAAGGTTCAAAATAATCCAAAGTACAAAGTGAAAGACATGAGAGTGGATCTGGAGGAACAATTCAAACTTAATGTTAGTTATTCCACAATGAATAGGGTTAAAAGACTTGTATTAGAGAAATTAGAGGGTAGCTACATTGATGATTATAACAGATTAGAGGCTTATGCTCAAGAGTTGAGGGATAGCAATCCTGGATCTGATGTGGTGATAAACATATCCAAAGATGCTTTGGAACAAGGAAAAAGGAAATTTCTAAGAATGTATATTTGCTTCCATGCTTTGAAAAATGGTTGGAAAGGAGGATTGAGACCTTTAATAGGTCTGGATGACACTTTTCTAAAAGGAAAGTGTAAGGGAATATTACTTGTTGCTATGGCACAAGATTCAGTGAAACACTTTTATCCCCTAGCTTGGGCAGTGGTTGATAAAGAAACTGGTAGGACTTGGAAGTGGTTTCTAGAGTTGGTAAGAAGTTACTTGGATTTGCAAGAGGGTGAAGGAGTGACATTTATGTCCGATATGCAAAAGGTAATATCTAATTATTTTTTTATCCACATGTTTCTTTGTACTAGTTTGACTATATGTTTAACTGCTTGCTTTCATTTTTGTAGGGTCTGATTGATGCTGTTTCTACTGTGCTTCCTAATGCAAATCACAGATGGTGTGTTAGGCACATAGAAGCTAATTGGAGCAAGAAGTGGAGGGGTTTAGAGTTAAAGAAGTTGTTGTGGTGGTGTGCTTGGAGCACATATGAAGAGGAATTTACAGATCATTTAAAGTCCATGGGTGATGTGACTGAAGAAGCTGCTAAGACCTTAGTAGGATATACACCCCAAAATTGGTGTAGAGCATACTTTGACACCATTGCAAGAATAATATGGTAGACAATAACTTTACAGAATCTTTCAACAAATGGATTTTAGAAGCAATATAAAAACCTATAATCAAGATGCTGGAAGAGATTAGAGTTAAGGTACAAATTTGATGTTTAACTGTTTGCTTTCATCTGTTAACTATTTTTTCCCTTCTTAACTGTTTCTTTCATTTGCTTAATTATTTTTCCCCTTCAATACTTCTTAACTATTTTTTTCATTTGAACTTCTTAACTAGAAGGTGATGAACTTGTTAAAAAATCGTGAAGAAGAGTGTAGAAACTGGAAAGGAGAAATTAGCCCATATGTTATGGAGCTATATAGTGATTATAGAGCTATTACTGCAGAATGTGAAGTTGACTTTAATGGAGACTTTGGATATGAAGTGATTGAAGGTCCAGACAAGCATGTAGTGAACCTAGAATTGAAGAGATGTACATGCAGGGCATGAGACTTAACTGGAATACCATGCCCTCATGCCATTAAAGCTTTACTCCATAAAAAGCTTGATCCTTTGAGTGAGGTGCATTGGTGGTATTCCAAAGAAGCCTACATGATGGTGTATATGCATAAGATATAACCTGTTAGAGGTGATAAATTTTGGAAAGTTGAGCCAGAACATGCTATGGATCCACCAAATGTGCATAAAATGATTGGTAGACCAAAGGTCAAGAGAACAAGAGAAAAGGATGAGGCTAGGAAGAGAGAGGGGTTATGGTCTGCTTCAAGGAAAAGACTTCTTCATGTGGATACTGCAGTGAACCTGGTCACAATATCAGAACTTGTCCATTGGTAATCTTTTAAACCTTACTGAAATGAGTTTGTAGTTCCACAATTTTAGTTCCATAGTAAACATATGTTTTTTGTCTTGTAGGTCCAAGGAGAATGTTCTCAAACAGTGGAAGATGTGCCCTTGACAGCACCTCAAGACAGTCAGAATTCAGATTTTGCCTTTATGACTACTCCTGGATAGAATGTTTCTTTGAGTGAACCACCAGCTCAACTACCCAGTCAAGCAAAGAAATCTTCTCAACAAACCAGTCAAGCAAATAAACCTATTCAACACAAACATGCTGCAACTAAGAAGACAAGTAAACAAGCTGCTACACCTTCTAACATGACAGTAGATGAAGATAATATTGATGATGCTACTGGAGATGGAGATGATGATGAAGATCCGGATTTGAGGCCAGTGGTGATATCTGAAGCTTGGACTATGCTTCAACAAAGAAAGTTGCACCAAAAACCTACCGGTACCAGGAAGATTAGTTTCAAGGGAGATGGAACTGGTATAAATTTGCCTACTAATCTGCCCTATTCACCCAAAAAGGTGACTTGGAAAGGCAAAGCAGCTGTGACTTCTAACCAATTGATAGCTAAAAAGGAAGCAAGAGTTGGCAAGCTAAAGGCTAAGAGGGCCAAAACTGCCTCTAAGTAGCAGCCACTTCATTTAGATCCTTGAATGTTTTGTAATGACTGATTCAAACTTAAACTTTTTTTTTTGTTATTTTGTGGTGAATCAGTTATGAATGGTGTTGTGTTGATTCACCCCAAAATATTTTTTGATGGGCTTAATTTGTGGTGAAACAATATAACAACATGCTGTTTGACTTAAATGCACTCTAGTTTATTGGCTAAAGAGAGCGCATATTTCAGTAGAATTGATTTTAAATGCACTCTAGTTTACATTGGCACAGATGATATCATTGTGTCTTGAATCTTTATGTTTGGATCCCAGTGATCCGTTCTTGTTTGGATAATACTTCAGATGTGCCCATCTGATGGTTGAACTGATAACTTGATTTCAGATTCTAGTACTGGCCCTACTGCAAAAAGGCTTCTGCACTTGAAGTCTCTGTTTTGGAATATGCTTGAGATTACTTCCTGTGCACTTGAAACATTTAGCTTGCTGAAGCTCTAACAAATGTTTTAAATGTTTCTTTTATAAAATTTCTAACAAATACACACATCTGCTGAAGCTCTTCTGCATATAGTCACAAACCTATAGCAAATTAAACTTGTAAATTATACTTATCCATGAGGACTTGATATCTTAGTGTATCACAAACCAATAACAGATGATCCAAAAAAAAGAAAAAGAAAGAGAGATTATAATGGACAATAGTCGAATTTGCTTGGTTGAACACAACAAGAATTACTTCAAAAACTGCATATTTGTTCGTTGACAAACAAAAAATTAAGCCCAGTTGGGTACATTGCAACTTCAACTTCAACACTTTATTCATTGCAACCAAGCCATTAACATAATATAACAAAAGAAAAATGCAACTACAACTTCAACACATGGTCTTCACGGCTACAACACAGACAAAAAACGCCCATGACAACAACATAAATTTTTTCCATCGTTTCAAATTTGAATCCAAGTTCGACACTTTCTTCTCCAAGCAAGACACTTTATTCAAATCTGAAGCATTACTACCTAAGAATTCATCCAAGGTCTTCTTCAAATTGTTCCTTTCTTTACGAATGGTATTCAATGAAATCTTTTGAGTGTGGATAAACATTGACACATGGGCCGGAAGTTCTTCATCGCGCCATTCCCAATAACGACAAGCAATGTCTTCAGGACGAGGACATTTGAAGAATCTACGACCACCATTTATAGGTATCGTAGCAGTAAACTGGTTAGCAGTCAATCCGCAAAAATAAGTGTGAGACTGACCTAATTCACGAGAAGAAGTAGAAGATTCCGACATTATAGAGGACTCCGACTTGATTTTGTTGAATTTGAGAATTCAATTTGAGAGGTGGGAGATGGGGAATTTTGGTCTGCAAAGAGGAGAGAAGAACAATGGCTAACAAACTGGGTGAAATCCGTATTTTATTTAGGTTATTTGTTAATGGGTCGGAGCGGGTGGGTTATTTTGGGCCGGTTCAGGTTCAACAGATTGGGTATGGACATGGGTCTTTTGTTTTAAAATAAGCTAATGAGAATTTGCCACGTAATTAGTATTTAACCTTTCTTTTTTTAAATGAGGAACCGTTAGTTGGAGTGGCATGTATAGGCCAAGAAAATAACGTTAGGGATACCAAAGGCCCAAAAGGTGGACGGAGGGTATTTTTAACCCTGAAACTATAGTTCAGGGCCAGTTCTGGCCCTTTTCCATTTTAAATATTTTCTACAATCAGTTCCTTACAATCGCTCACAAGTTCTCAACAAGAGAAAGACCCAAGAGAGAAGCCGAGGCGAGATGCAACTAATAAGCAAATTACATCCATAAATTGAGAGCCTTTTAACGTGAACACAACAGTTCTAGTAACATATTCATCTCATAATATAAAAATGTATTTGGCTAAGATATTTACAATGTATAAAATGCAAGAACAATAATTATTTATTTTGACTATATAAATTCGATTCCCATGGAACTTGCTTTTATCGAAAAATTCTAGTGAGAGAAGGTTTTCCTTCTCTCTAATCTTACAATCCCAAACCAGATCAACCACAGCCAACATGATAGCAACCTGGGAACTTCAATCCCACCAAAACCGCCTGATATTGAAAAAATCCATTCCCATCATAACTTGCTTGACCAAAACAACTCGTATAGGGATAAACTAATAGGAAAAATCCAAATCCCTCATGAACATCAATGTGAAGATCAACCTTCACCTATGTCAATGGATGTTTAACAAACTCCTATTATACCATGCCTACAAAAGAGAGGAGAAAGCAAGATAAAAAGTATAATTCTATCGGATCAAGATATCCAGCGAATATATGAACCATGGAAATTCTCAGTGATAATCAAATTGATAGGAACAAATGTCAGAATTTTTTATCTCCCTACCTACGAGCAAAAATACAAAGTCTTTGGAGACCAACGAAGAACTTTTCCTTAATAGACCTTGGTGAAGATTATTACACGATCAAGTTCAACAAAGAAGAAAATGCAAGGAAAGCTCTACAAAATGGACCATGGTTCATTAATGGTTTCTTCCTCTCCGACCAAAAATGGACACCAAATTTTGTAGCTACATGAGCAACTCAAAGTTACACTACCATTTGGATTAGATTGCTACAGTTACCAACCAAATAAATTTTATGATGGAATTATTCTGGCCAAAATTGGAAATGCCATAGGCAAGCTATTAAAAATTGATGCATGTACATCCTCTACCATTAGAGGTAGATATGCGAGGTTATGTGTACAAATATCATTGGAACAAATTGTCCAATCTTACATCCAAATTGGTACGCACAAACAAGCAATTTTATATGAGGGTGACAACATCCTATGCAAATCATGTGGCTGCCTAGGTCATTCTTCTTTAAAGTGTTCTCTCCCTACCCTACACAATATAACCGCAACCAATGGTGGAGGCCAAAACTCAGCACCTCCTGCATCAAATAATACTGGCGAATGGTAGACCGTTTTTTTTTCAAAAAAAAAGAAACCAATCACAAATCGAGGTGAGCAGGCAACAATGAACTCGATCATCAACACAGGTATAAATGTAAGAATTTTTTATGCATCAATAGATAAGTTCCTCAATACTCAGAAATTAAAATATGTTGATAAAAATTCTATCCCCCCTAACACTGGATAAAGGCAAAAACTCTACTAATTATCAATTAGACCCTTCCATTAATATTAATGAAAACTATCTCACTACTAATTATGACATTAGCAATAATAATTTCCTAACAAAATGGGCACATAATTTTTAGTACAAACAATGGTATAGCCAATACCACTGGTTCCCTACATGCAAAATCACCCCAAAGACAGACAAGTGGAGAAAACGTGTCACCCCAAAAGACCTCTTCTAATTCCTACGTCCAAATGATTACCCCTAATAACAAATCTATTATTAAAAATCCTAATAAATATACCACACCCAATAACAGTCGAGTTAGCAACACAACTACACACGAAATAGCCCCTAATGATAATCAAATACTAACAAACACCACTAATATATATTGCATGCAAACTAATGCCCACACTCGAGAGACACACTTGGTGGAACCAAACCAACAAATGTTGGAGAAGCAATCTCCTCCAGATTTTGTTAAAATCCTTACGCCAAATAGTTCCTCTTGCATGCAAATAGATCCTATAATAGCAAATATCCCTACTCCACTATCGACAAATCTAACTGTCGAACAACATTCTCCTATATTAGATAACTCCACCACCCAAAATGCCTCGCACACCACTAACCATGAGGAGAAGATACAAACTTGTCCAAATACAATGTCTCCATCGTCCCTACCCAATGGACAACCTTCCTCCACTACCACCACAACTCCCTACCTCACTAGTAATCTATGCACAACCTCCAAACCCCCTAAACCATCAAACATAATCCTAGATCGAGTTGGGACTAATAGGGCATGCAATATCCTTCAACTTGCAGATCAATAGTCAGGACTCAGTCTTCATCATCCAGAACACAAACTACTCAGCACAACTGATCTCAGAAGGCATGCATCTAGCCATGACTAACTACATCAATCAGATGTGGATGAACAACATATTGTAGCCACTGGCTCCATCAATGAACCAAAATCTAGCCAACAACATGCACGAAATGTGGGATGTTCCGGGAAATCCCAATACTCTGATGCCCCCGAACATCCCTCTCAACCTTCCATTCTTTAAACCGAAAGAGATGTCACTGGTGAACCCCATATTCACCCGTTGAGATGTGCAACAACCTCCACCACCTTTTTTCCCTCAACAATAACCCCCCATGCAAGCAGAAGAACAAGCTCAACCACAGAAGGACATGCAGCAACAAGAGCAGAACCAAGAGGTAGAGGAAGAACACATCCAACATCGGGGGGAGCCAAGGGTGGCATTTTCAAACCTAAGCAAGGTAAAAATCTTAATCTTCAAAGAATGACTCGACAAGAAATGCATCATCAGATGTCCGATAACTCTGTCCAAGTGCTCAATAGATATAAGGCCCACACATGATCCAACAGTAGGAAAAAAATGTAGTTATCCTAGTACCATCCCACAAGAGTAACAATGCCATGGCAACGAGGGAGAACAGTCACAACCACCCTACACCCCTAATGATGAATCAACCAATTAACTTTGTTATTTGGAATGTCCAAGGTGCAAACAATGCAAACTTTAGAAGAAACTTTAGGGAATAGATACCCACAAGCCTAGCATGGTTACCCTCCTTGAAACAAGGATGTCTATGCATGTATCCATTTTGGAAGAGTTTAACTTCACAGAGATGATTGAGGTACCAACAAAGGGGTAAGCTGGAGGAATGGTGTTCCTGTGGAATCATACAAGAGTTGTAGTGAACAACTTCACAAGAAGAAATCAGAAAATTCACATCATGATAGAGGTAAAACCTAATCACAAATCCTGGCTTTTTAGTTCTATATATGCTAGTACTAATAAAACAAATAGAGATACCCTTTGGCATAACATTGAAAATCTATTTAATCATTATAATGGTGCTTGGCTAATGAGGGGGGGGGGGGGCTTTAA